AAAAAAAAAACACAAACACATTGTGTTTCTTGAATATAATTTGTTTATGCTATACACAATGTGTTTTCTGGAACTATCAATTATGGTTTTGGAGCCAAATTACCACAAGCATATGTGATGTATTTGGGCATGAAGATTAATACATTGTGTGCATCATTGAAAAATGTGGTATGAACTAGAGGTGGCAATTAAATCCATTAAGGCAAAATCCATCCAATCCATCCATCAAAAAATCCATCCAATCCATCCACCACACAAAAAATAAGTTAATGGATTGGATTAAATCCATCCATTTATATACATGGATGGATTCAATCCATCCATTTATATGTATGGATTGATTCAATCCATTCAATATATTTTAAGGATCTAATGGATTATTTTTATTTTCATTAGATTTATTTTTTTAAAATTAGATTTTTTTAAAAATAATTAAAAAACTGTATTTTTTTTTTGAAAAAAAAAATTTAATTTTTTTGAAAAAAAATCTGTTTTTTTTTTCAGAACAAAAAACTGATTTGTTTTTCGAAAAAAAAATCGAATTTTTTTTTTTGGAAAAAAAATCAGTTTTTTTTTTCAGAATAAAAAACTGATTTGTTTTTCGAAAAAAAAATAAATTTTTTTTTCGAAAAAAAAGTTGACTTTTTTTTGGAAAAAAATCGGTTTTTTTTTTTCAGAATAAAAAACTGATTTGTTTTTAGAAAAAAAAAATAAAACTTTTTCTCGAAAAAAAAATCGACTTTTTTTTTCTAAAAAAAATCGGTTTTTTTTCAGAATAAAAAACTGATTTGTTTTTCGAAAAAAAAACCGACTTTTTTTTTTCCTGAAAAATCGGCTTTTTTTTCAGAATAAAAAACTGATTTGTTTTTCGAAAAAAAAAAAAAATTTCTCGAAAAAAAAGTCGACTTTTTTTTGGAAAAAAATCGGTTTTTTTTTCAGAATAAAAAACTGATTTGTTTTTCGAAAAAAAATAAAATTTTTTCTCGAAAAAAAAACCGACTTTTTTTTTCTGAAAAAAATCGGTTTTTTTTCAGAATAAAAAACTAATTTGTTTTTCGAAAAAAAACCGACTTTTTTTTTTCTAAAAAATCGGTTTTTTTTTCAGAATAAAAAACTGATTTGTTTTTCGAAAAAAAATAAAAAAATTTCTCGAAAAAAAACCGACTTTTTTTTTTGGAAAATAAATTGATTTTTTTTTCAGAATAAAAAATTAATTTATTTTTGAAAAAAAAAATTTATTTTTACGAAATTAAAAAAAAAGTTGGATGGATGGATATCCATCCATTAAAAATATGTTAATGGATGGATTGGATGGATTTTATTTTTAATGGATGGATCGGATTGGATAATTTTAATAAAATTTTAGTGGATTTTAATGGACTAATGGATTGTTTTAATCCATCCATTAGCAATCCAATCCATATCCATCCAATCCATCCATTTTGCCACCCCTAGTATGAACTCATATCTAATTGAAGATTAATAGTGCAAACTTAACTCACACTTGAATAATATTAAATCTTGATTCGACGAAGAAAATACATTATTAAAGTGATTAAAGTATTGTGTAATAGATGCATCTCATGTGATAAAGTACTTAGTCCATAAAAATAAATATGGCGAGATGATATTTTTATCTTAGATTATATTTGTATATTAAATAATAAACAAGCGAGATAAAGCAAAGTGAAATGAAATAAATACTTCATTTCATTATTTGCATATTTTAGAATGTAATAAAGTAATTTTGACATCTAACCCAAATGAAAGGAATAAAAAATAAAGAAAAGTGATTGAATGAGATAAAATACATTTCACATACTCTATTTCATTCTGTCTATTTTTATTTAATCCAAATAATAAATATAAATTTATACTATTCTATTTTATCTATTCTATTAATCCAAATATATTCTTAATAATAAAAACATATAATATATATTTGATAGAATACATCATTATGAATGAACATTTAATATAATCTACTTGTACGAAAATGAAATGAGATTATTCTATAGAAATGTAAAGGTTTGACTATTAATTTCTCACGAAATGGCTACGACACACAAAATTTTAACATTTGTGTCATTTTTATAATTTATGATATTAAGTTGAATGAATAATTAATTCAAAAAGTGTCTACCAAATTATTTAAAGACGAGTGAAAACTTAAATGCATGAGAGTTGATTTAAATCATAAAATACATTTACTTGAAACCATGTAATTTTCCTTATAACAAATTTAAATATATTTTAAAAATAGTGAAGGACTGTGACAAAAAATTTCAAAATATAAAACAAAAAAGTTATACCAAAGGAATGAGTGATAAAATGCTTGACTTTTGCTACTCTTTTTAATGACAAAGAGACTTTTTCCCTCATTTTTACATCTATCAAATAAACGGTAAAGAAAACAAAGACTAAATTTCAAAAATGAAGATTCATTTTAATTCTTCACAAAAACTAAAGAATCCAAATTAATCTCCTGGAGAAAAATCATATTTAATTCTTTATAAAATGTATTAATATTTTTTAAAATCAACGTATTTTTTAATATTACATTGACAACCAGGTTGAATTTTATTTTTTACTTTTTTCATTTTTAAATACTAAATTGATTTTTATTTTTTATTTCAATTTTATTTTTAAATAATTTAGATGTGAAAATATAAAATAAAAAAATAAAATTTGTTGATGGAACTGGAATAAATCAAAATTAGAGAACTTTAAGCCACATCATATGCCTTTACCACTAAGCCAATGTAAATTGATGACACATAATTTTCATAATCTGTAGTAATATTAAACAATTCTGAATTAAGAAAAAGATACAAAATTCATGAGGTCTCAAACCCAAATCCCTCCGGGTTAAATGGTAGCTACTTTACAACTAGATCAATTAATTTTTGTTGTTAATATTTCAAATGATGAATACTTAATTTAATAATTCAGGAAGAATATATATTCCCATCCAATTTAACTAATCATATCATGAAAAAAAATCAAATTATATACCACTAGTGTTTCTCTCCAAAGACGGATAAAGCCCATTTCTTAGATCATGAAGCAAATTGGGTGGCTTCTATCAAATGAAGAGTGTATCTCATCACAATTAGGGGTGAGCAGAATTTAACTCAACTTGAATACCCGTCCCAATTTAATATAAGTGGGATGAGTTCGGGTTGACCTTCAGGTTATTCAACCCGTCTTAATATTATGAATGTACATGTGATACTATTTATTTATTTATTTAATTTATTGGTATATTTAAATTATTCTAAATTTTCAATAGACTTTTTCACTTTTCACCTCATAATTTAATATATGCACTAAATAAATACTAAATACACATATGTTCTTTTACATCATGTTTTTTATTTTACATCTTCTTACTATATTTTAAGGAAAAAAAGGTGATGACATATTATCGAGATTTTTATGGATTTAGGTACGGACGAGTTAGGGTCATTAAAATAATCCGATCAAAATTTAAGACAGGGTTAGAGTTAGTCATAACCCATTCCGACCCGTCTCTTGCTCACCACTAATCACAGTTTAAGGGTAGCTACCCCGTATAAATCTTGTTTAGCCGGTGTTTTTCTGAGTTTTAAACCCTCACAAAAAAAAAGAAAATCAAAATAAATAATTCAATTAATTATTAAAATATTTAATTAATTTATATTAAATGATCAATAAATTATTAATTAATTTAAATTAAATAATAATAAATTAATTTTATAATATTTAATTAATAAAAACTAAATAATACACCAATAAATATATTTTTTAAATAAATGACAAATTTAAAAATAAAATTAACAAAATATAAATCCTAAATATAATTAATCGAGTAGAAATAATTAAATTGATATTTAATTCAATGACTATTAAATTATCCCAGTGGAATTACTACCAATCATGAGAATTATAAGATGAGGCTCAAAGGTTATTAAGTTTGATAAAAACCTGAATTATTTAAAAATAAAACTAAAATTCAATTTAATATATAAAAAATAAAAAATAGAAAATAAAATTTCACATGGTTGATCATGTAGTCATTAAAAAATGCATCTGACATCAATAATACACGTAACAAACCATAGGTAATTAAAAATAAAAAAAAAATTAATTGAGAAAATATTAACATAATGACTAATATAATACGTTTAAATTTTGTATAAGATTAAAATAAATTTTTTCTGAATAGTTAATTTAAATTATATATTCTTTGTGAGAAAACAAGAATATTCACTATTCTTTCAATTTTTTTCTTCAAAAGTTAAATTGGCCGTAACAGTTCTTTTTAAACATTAAACTGAATATTCCCTTTATTTCTTTCAATAAATAAACCTACCATTTAAAGAAAGTATTGGAGGGACACTTATTACCATTTCGAAATTCAAAAAATAGTTTTATTTTAAATAAAAAAACTGCAAAGTCAATTAACTAAAAAAAAGAGATTAGAGAAAATAGAACTATATATAAAGTTTGTGGTGCCATTTTGTTTCTCTTTCTGATCCTTACGCAAAAACCTAAATTCTCTATCGCACCGCGCACAAAACCCTTCTCCAAATCTAATCGCCCGCGTTTTCTAACCCTAGCTTTCTGAATCTTCACGAATCACAGTAAGTTCTCTAACCCTAACTCTCACTCGTTTCTTCTTCACTCACCACAAACTTCTCTCAAATGCGAGTTCATCTTTCATATATTCTTGCGAGCTTTCTTGTGTTGTGGATAATTACTGAATTTATTTATTTATTTTATGCTGAAGTTGTTATTTAGTTCAGTTTCATTTCAAGGCATTGGTAGTTACTGTATATGAATATTGAAAGATTATTGATGGTGTTTACTAAATTACTAATGATTGTAGCATTATTCGGTTTCTTCTATTTTATGCGTGTATTTTAATTTTCATATTTTTTATATTTCGATTTTAGTTTCCGCTGAGAATTATTTTGATGAGTTGTTGTTTTCATATGATAGGTTTTGTAGTAATAGGTATGTCCGGGGAACATTTTGAAGGGGAAGATGTTGGCTATGTGCCTGAGGATATGGAATTTCCTCAAAACCATTTGGAAGAACATGAAGGAGATGTGATTGATGACTCTGGGTTTCATCAACTGCAGCATGATATTGATGATGGTGACAATGATGATGGTGGTGATGATGAACAGGTGGGAAGTTTGGGTGAGGATGTAGAAATCAATTTTCCTGAAAATCAATTTGATGGTAACGATGTGGAAGATTTTACTGAAATTGGTGATGATATTGCCGATGGTGTACCACAAGAGCATACTATTGAGGAGCAAATTGATGGAGGTGGTGATGTGAATGAGAATTTTGGCTCGCCGGAAAATCAGGAACCCAGAGAAGATTCAAAAGGAGTTGAAATAAAGAAGTGGCCTGGATGGCCTGGAGAGAATGTTTTCAGGATGTTGGTTGCTTCGCAAAAGGTTGGCAGCATCATTGGGCGCAAAGGAGAGTTTATTAAGAAGATTACTGAAGAGACTAGGGCTCGAGTTAAAATTCTTGACGGACCTCCGGGAACCGCAGAAAGAGCAGTGAGTATACTTTTCAATTTGTTTTTCTTATTCATGTAACTAAGGGTAATCGTGGATATTAAATGGTATTATACATATTTGTTCACCCATTTTGTTAGATTTATCAGTTCTGTTGTTGAATATGGTTATGTTCCTGTTGCCCATACCATAAATGGATAAACTACTATTTCCATCATGAAGAACTAGGTTAATGAAAATATAAAAGAAGGAACATCACTTCATGCTTATTATTAAACCCTAGTGCTCTATCTTGTCATAACTATTTAGTGCTTTGCTATGGAAAACATCTACTGGATGAAGCAAACCTCTTATTTTATCAGTTTGAAATTCAAACTTAATAGTTAATTCATGATAAAACATGGTAACCGAGATGAATACTATTGCCAAGGAGTAAGGAATTGCATATTATTATATAAAAAGAAAACACTAACCAGTTATCAAGGAAGTGAAACTATCAAAATTACATTATACAACTAAACACAAGAAGTGATAAGTAATTAAAAAGGATAATATATATAAAAAGAGATGTCTTTTATCGAGATAACGAAATGGATGTGTGCAGGTTGTCAGCAAATATGAATGAACAAAAGTGGCTTCAAACTGAAGAGCCAAATTTCAAGTTGCAGGGAAACAGCAATGAGCATGTACAACTGCTGAAATGTTATTTCTGATCTAAGAATCAGAAATAGTTTGTGCAGCCTATGGTGGCAAGAAGCTTTCACTGTACCTGGTAACTTCAGAATTTGGTCGGTTGGTTCTTGCCACACTCAAACTCTTTCCTACAAAACACACTTACAGTCACACAAAAAAAGCTTCTAAAATTTGATCCACACATTACCAAGTACACTAAAACGGATTAAATCAGGAGGCTATGTCATTAAAATTTATAAACCTAAAATATGTCCTGATCAATTCAATTATTCCATGGAGATCTATCATTGTTGAGTTACTCCGAAGATTTGAAATTATTAATTAAAAACTGTATTCATAAATATTTGACATAGTGAAAATAATTGCTAAATTGTGTAATTAGAGATGCATTGTTCCAAGGAAATGGAAATACAGTTGAAGTAAAAATTAGATTAACCCATGAAAACAATTGTTAGTTCAATGAACAAGAGATGCACTGGTCCAAGGAAATGAAATTTAATTGAAGAGGTATAACAAAGTTGTATATATTTATTCTAGTGATGCAATAGTGTACTTAGTGATCAACGAGTGTGTCTTTGGAACAATTGAAATGAATCAATCAATGAGTTAAACATATAAAGTTAGGTTTTCTGAAGTTTGTCTGTTTTTGGTGTTTTATGAAAGCCTACTATTTCCTACATGGCGTTTCTGATTCTATTTCGCATATGCTTCTCATAGGTAATGGTTTCTGCAAAAGAAGAGCCAGATCGCCCCATACCACCTGCTGTGGAGGGTTTGTTAAGGGTTCATAAACAAGTTTGCAATGTGGACCGTGATCCTGCAGATAGCGCATCAGGTGCAGGACGCCCAGGTGTTACGAGGCTTCTGGTGGCTGATACTCAAGCAGGAAGTTTGATTGGAAAGCAAGGGGCCACTATAAAAACCTTTCAAGATGCTACAGGTTGCAGTATACGCATTCTTGGTTCAGGTGTGGTTACTTGTATTATTAAGCGTGAGGAAATATTGCTCTAATACACTCACTGATGCATATGTTATCAGGATTACTAAACCCACCACTCTCAAATGCACTAGTTTTCTTACTGCTATTCTTATTATGCCTTTAGAAACATGATTAATGAATACGTAAGTGTGTGATTAATATTGTACCAGAATAATGTAATATGTATATACAACAGAACACCTGCCAATTTTCGCTCTGCGGGACGATAGTATTGTTGAGATACAAGGGGAATCTGCTGGAGTTCACAAGGCAGTTGAACTTATTGCACTTCATTTACGCAAGTTCTTGGTTGACCGCAGCATAGTTGGAGTATTTGAAACACAGGTAAGATCTTTCTTATTTCTGAACTTATTTTTTTCAAAAGATAAAAGACAAAATGGACAGCTTAAGAATATATTGCCTGCTATTGGTGAATTGATGTTTTCTAACATAGGTTATATTGAGGAGCAGTTGATTGGGATAGGTTAGTGATAGGACTAGAGTGGATGGGAAAACATTCTAGGCTATCTATCATTTGCATGGTATATGCTTGCATGACAGCTCATTTGTGCAATTTAAGGAGGGGTTTAATGTTACTTTCAAGTGTAATGGCCTTTTTTTTTATACACTGGATTGGGGGAAATTGTGATTTGTTTATTGAGGTTATGTGGAGCATTTTTACATTAATATATATTTTTTATTTCTAATTATTCTATTCTTCCTGGCAAACGCAAATTGTAGATGCAACGACCCGATGTTCGCGTTAACCACAATGTGCCACCACACCAATCTTGGGGGCCTTCTCAAGGGTTTTCTGCTCCTGGTGGAGGTGCACCTGCGTATCCACCCAATCCTCAATATATGCCACCACAACATAACTATGACAATTATTACCCACCTGCTGACCTGCCTCCCATTGACAAGCACATGCATCAGGGTCCACCATCTGCCTATGCAAGGGATGCCTCTTTGGGAATACATTCGTCCGGTGGGCAGCCACAACAAACTGGTGGAACTAAGGTATCTTTGTTTGCTCAGCTAGGTCATTGCAGAGTGTAACTTTGGGTTTGAAGTAGTTTTATTTTTATCTTGACTTTTGTAATTTGTTTTCTATTGTATAGGTCACACAGCACATGCAAATCCCACTGTCTTTTGCAGATGCTGTTATTGGGGCATCAGGAGCAAATATTAGCTACATTCGCCGTGCTAGTGGAGCAAGTATTACAATTCAAGAGACCAGGGGTGTGCCAGGGGAGATGACTGTTGAGATAAGTGGTACTGCTTCACAAATACAGGCAGCCCAGCAGCTGGTTCAGGTATTTGATTTTGACGCTGCTTTGAAAATTCTAATCTGGTTGTTATTTGTCTTGTCGTTATTGATTAATAGGCACCGACACCAGTCAGGGTTAATGTAAGTTTTATGTTTTTGGTTTATTCTAGCATCTATTAAGCACAATTTCAGACATGTACACCGGGGCATGGCACGGCACAGACACTCCTCTGACACTGGTAATGTCAAAATCATAGGACATTTACACCATACATATATGATAGTTTTTGACATGGATTTATACTATTAAAAAAGTTTAAAATGTTTTAATCAAATTTAATGTCTTTATCCCATTCATTGATCAACATTGCTACAACACATCTTCAACCCATTTAGATGTGTGAGATATGTCTAAAAAATGTATTAAGTTGTTAAAAAATTTCTTTTTGAAACACTTGTCTGAATTGTCCGACACCGATTCAATGCTTGTTGTAGAAAAGAAATTTTCAAGAGGGTCTTATATGTAGGGACAAAGCCCTGAGGTAGTAGTTTTTCCAAGTGCTTTTTAAAGCATCTCTGTATGATAACTTTAATTTTAAATGTCTATTGGGTAATGAAAATGTGTTGCTATCAGTCTTTTGTACTCTAAGGTTAATTAATTATACTACTTTTGTCACTGTATGAATGGACCCTCTTGTGATTTATGAGTCCCTTTTTATTAGATTCCTTTCAAATTTCAAGATGCATTAATTAGTTTTTCACAAAAATTCCCCTAATTAAGTAGAGAGAATCAAAAGATCTGCTATTTCTCTTAATAATTGAGGGATAATTTTGGAAAGAGAATGTACATAGTTGACAAGTTGAATGTAAAAACATATTTTCTTCATTCTTGTGCATTGGCCAAGAGGGGATCTTACATACAGGGATAATGTTGGTAGTAGCATTGAATAAGGGGAGGGATTTCTGATGATATTGAAGTATTTGTTTATTTCTTGTACTTCGCCCTTTTCACCTGTTGAGAAGAAAAGTAACAGTTACAGGAAACATGTTTTGCTTGACATGGCACCCGTCTTGTGTACTTATCTAAATTGCTCACAATATACCCGATGCAGAATTTCATGGCTGAAGCTGCAAATGCGGCTGCGGCGGCGGCACAGGATCATATGGGAGGATCAATTAACCAAGGCTATAATTCCTATCCCACTAATGCTCCTGTTTATGCATCTCCGCCATCAAGTGCTGCAGGCCATGCGCCTTCGGCAGATTATGGCTCTGTATATGGCACCAACTATGGCTATTGAGAATATTTCATTCAATTTTAGTTGAGGAGCCTAACGTTTTTGTAAACAATTCTTTCAAATTTAGTTCCAGTTCGTTGTATTTGAGTTCTACTGCATTTGGTATAATACTGGAATAGGGTCTAGAGAATATGATAATTTGGTAGTTTTTTTTTTAAATTTGTTTAATGTTACCTTGTCAGTTTCCTTTATGTTTCCAAATTTATCATGGGTCTTGAATTTAATGTCGTTAAAAAGGATAAATATAATCATTGTCATGATAAAAGAATAAAATGCAATGCTTGGATATCATGATAGTTGTATGAAATTAATGATGAAACAGTTTTTCATAAACAGTTTATCATACAATACCTCAGTATTAAATTTTGAGGGGATTTTTTTCCGCCTATTGACATACTCGCATGTTAGTTGGAGACTGGTCTCTGAGGCTGCATATAGATAAAATCTGGTTCATAAAAAAGTTTATAATCTCAAAGCTGTCAAATGGTTTCGTTAGGAATTGTTTTAGTTTAAAAAACGGAGCAAAGTGTTAAGTTTTGCATATGCCCTTTTTGCTCAACAAGATTATGGATAATAAGGTGTTTTTAAATTTATGTGAATCTTTATTGAGGTAAAAGTGGTTTTTATTGAGAAATGTTATGATGCTACATAGGCTCTTTTACTAGGAAGTGAATATATGGAGAGGGTCAATAAGAATGTGGTTGCCCTATTATTTTGGCTTTTCCCCCTCATAATAAAAAGCCACGTCAAACATTTAAGTGTTACACCTTTGGTCTCTTATTACGAAGCACTCGTTACAAAAATTATTTACTTCTTTCCATAAATAATTATCATGAAATTATTTACTTCTTTTCATAAATAATTGTACACTTTTCCATAGATTATTATCACCTCCTCTTAATGAACCGTCTATATTGTCTTCTGTATCATTACAAGTATTTTTTTTAACAAAGTTATTAATGCATGTTAAAACTTTTAAAAAGTTAAAAAGTCCATTATTTCCTTTTCTTTTTTACCCAAGTTATTTAAAAAGTTATCAGGTTAACTTGTGTGATATGTTGTCCATTATGGAGATCAAGTATGCTTTGATATTAATTCTCACAAAGTTTCAAGGGATGTTGGTTTTTCTGCGCCTTTCTACATGCGTTGTTTGGATACTGTGACTCTGTCTTTACACTAGTCTGTTACTAGTGTTTTGAGTGATATTTTCATGATTAGTTATGCAAACAACATTCTCCTAGTGGTTATCTCTAAAGTTGACCAATCAAAGGTTCTCACACAGTTTCGTCCTATTGCGATATGTAATGTTATGTATAAACTTGTGATTAAAATTGTGGTAAACTGTGTAAAGCCTCTGTTGAATATTATCATCCCTCCACGTCAGTCTAGCTTTATTTTAGGAAAGAATATTCATTACAATATTATTATAGTGGAAGAGATAGTTCATGCAACAAAAAAGAATGAAAGGAAAAAAGATGTTTATGTCAATAAAAATTTATTTAGAGAAGGTCTATGACATACTAAATTGAAAGTTTGTAACTCCAGGACCGTAAGATTTTGAGAATTAATTAATTAAATTTATTATTGTATTTCTTCATCGTATTTCAAAAATTTACGGAATGGAAACCTTATATAACTTTGCTCCATTTAAAGGTATTTCTCAAAGTGATTTCTTTTCTTTTTATTTTATTTATTTTTTGTTATTTGTATAAATTCTTTGTCGCATATTATTGGTGATCATGTTAATACATGTTATTGGAAGCATATGTGTGCGGAACCTGAGAGACCTTAGGTGTCTCATCTCTTTCTTGCATATGATTTTCTTCTTTTTGTAGATGTCATTATAGAGCAAATTTATTGTATCAAGCATTGTTAGACAAGATTAACTCAGAAGACACAAATTTAATTTTCAACTAACACAGATCCCCAACTTTGGCAAGAGACTTTGAAATATACATGATTTATAAATGCATATAGCTTGGGAAGATCTCTAACTTAGGCAAGAGATCTTGAAATATACATGATTTATAAATGCCTATAGCTTGGGAAAATACCTTTGGGGGAGAAATTATCCGTGATAGAAACTCTAGGAATAGATTTCAGCATGCTATTGAGCATTGTTCAAACGTAATGAGTGGTTGGAAACAATGATGTTTGGACATAGATGGAAGAATTATGCTGAGTAAATTTCTATCGAGTTTTATCCCTTAATTTTATATGCAGTATGCAAAAATCCATATAACTATTAGTAATGAGTTGGAAAAATTACAATGAAAATTTATTTGGAGAAACAATGAAACAACTTATGAGACTCATCTAATCAGTTGAAAGGTTTGTTGTGTGTCTAAGGAATAATATGACCAAGACATCAAACGCGCTTAATTAATTAATTTATTGACTAACCCTAATGTTTTATGGTGTTAGGTTCTCATTAATAATTGTGGATACTACCTAAACTATTAAGAATGTTATCAATAGGGAAGGAAAATGTAACATAGATTTGTTTCAAAAATTGCTCACTCACTAGTGAGATAGTAAATCAAATTATTTCTACACCTCCCCTATTCCTGAAGATGGAGCAGATAAACTGGGGTGAGAGTGTAGTAGAGATGATAAATTTTGTGTTAGACATGCTTATAGATATCTTTTTCACCTCAAATTATGAGTAATACTAATATCAACTCGAACATCATTTTGAAAAAACCCTTTTCAAATTCAAACGTTCATTTGGATCACGACACATAAGAGACTTTTGACAAACTACAGGTGCTACAAATGGAACATTGAGTTCAATCATTGTACGAATGCTGAAAAATCCTTGATTCATGTGTTGCAGGATTGCTCTAATGCAACTCAGGTATGGATTAAACTTGTCGCCTTTAACAAACTAAATCACTCTTACTCTATTTCTTGCAGAGATTGGATCTATTACAGTCTTAAAGAGGATATTGCAAATCTTCATAGAATACATTGGAGATCCATCTTTATGACTTCTTATTAGTACCATTGAAAGTTGAGAAAAAATGTATTTTTTAATAAGGCTTTCAGCGTCTTGACAATTCAATAGAAACAATCATGCATACGAAGAGAGATATCGAGAATGAAAACTATACGCACAATAAGTTTGAGTTGTCAATATTCGATGGTATTGTCAATATCGAGATCGGATTAAGCTTAATTGTAATGGTACTTACAAGAGATCTGCTCTCATTGCTAGATGTGGAGCTTACCCAAAAACTCGTTCGAAAATTGGGTGGGAGATATGTACGTAAAATTGGTATGTATGATGCGCTCATTGATGAAATGTGGGCAATGTTGCATAACATGGAGCTAAAATTTTAATAGATATGGTTAGTCATCAAATTGAGGAAGATCACAATTTTCCATCCTTATTCCGAAAAATTAAGAGAAAAAAACACTAATTGATATATCAAGCTCAACCATACTTGAAGTAAAAGAAATCATTATGCTAATTGATTTGCCAATTATAACCTCACTTTGACAACTGTGAGATCTTTATTCTTCTAGTTGTCCTAATAAATGAATTGAAGATTATTTTAGTTTATTCTTCTAGTTGTCCCAACAAATAAAAGATCTTTATTCTTCTAGTTGTCCCAATAAATGAATTGAAAATTATTTTAGTTTATTCTTCTAGTTGAAGATTATTTTAGTTGATAGGACAGGTCTCACTTCCTAAACTTGTTATAGTCGAAAAGAAAAAGTGAAAAACATCTTAAATTAAGAATAAAAGGAGAAGCTAACCTTTAACTATTTAAAAAGTGGACCTTATTTTTTATCTTCTCAAAGTTCATTGAGAAATTTATACGAATCTTTAAATTGACCTTATTTTTTATCTTCTCAGTTTTCTTTTTCTTTTCAAATTAAACACTTCTGTTAATAATTGAGTTGAATCTAGTTGGGATTTGCATCCTCTCCTAATCCTTCCTCCTTATATCCGTTTTTATGCATTTTTTGGGTTAGTGAAGATGTAAGTGCAACAACTCATAACGTTGGTAATTACTTACATTTAACAACAAAACTATCAAAAGCCAAGCAATCCAAAAAAAAAAAATGATGCCTAAAAAAATTCAGAATATCCTAAGAGGGGACAACAAAGAGTGATAGGAGAAGAATAACACTGATTATAATTCCTTAATTGCTTGAAATAACTCAGAAAACAAAACATCTATAAGAAAAGAATAACAGGGCATTATTTCTGTACTTCCATAGCAATCTAGCGTTAATAAGAGCCAAGATAGTTACTGCTAATTATCACAAATAACTAACAACTGATAAAAGAAAGCAGAAAATTTGGAAGAATATATAACTACCGAAATATAATAAATACCAAAATTAGCATTTCAAACACCACTAAAACAAAACATCATTTTTTAGTAGGTCATAAGAAAAAAAAAATTGTCAGATATGTTGTAACTAATTCCAACCGTAAGTACCATAAATTAGTGCTATAATTCCTATTCAAAATATTGAAATTCATACAAACCATTTTTTCCTACTGCCATCAATTAACTATCAAAATATGTACTATTACATATCACTGCTTCAGAAGCATTCATGCAAAAATGAAGCCCAAAAAAATGAAATTCGTCCGAGAGGATAAAAGCTGTCTCGCCCTTTCTGAAAGGAAAAATACCTTTGACATCAAAGGAAAATCGTTGAGACTGAAATAATAGGAATCAGCTAAAATACCTTTTTGCAATGTAATATTGTCGGAGAGAAAAAACTGTCGCCTTAACGCTTACTTTTGAACTTTTAGAGGATGAAGGAGCCAAGAAGTAAGAGAATCCAGAGAAGGGTTAGTTCACATGAGTGGATAAATAGTGGCTACAATCTACTGTCCACAAAAATATCAAGTTGAAACATTCTCCACTGTTTGTGGAAACTCAAGTTTGGGCAAGAGCTCAGAGGCAACCTGGTCAAATGAGACAAAGTTGAGATGATTTCTGTTTCCATTCATAATATTTGACAGACATGTTACTTCCTGATCTAACACTTTCTTTTCGAGAATTTCGGTCCAAAACTCATTATCTTCATTGAGGTTAGGTGATCTTAATATATCCACAACTTTTTCCAATGATGCTACATTCCTACCAGCACCACAGCCCATGGCTGTTGCAGCACCTACTGCATTTGCAATTGCTAATGTATTAACCATTGGCAAATTATGTATAAAACCGTATGCAATAGCAGCTACAAAACTGTCTCCACACCCAACAGAGTCAACAATGTTCACCTGATGATATAATTTACAAATCCAATTAGTTTGCACCCAAGAAGTTATCACAAAATCTAATGGTTGTAAAAAAATATCACATAATTTTGATAGACATTGCTGCAAGAGAGACAAACATAAATAAATAATACTTTGGACATCCACACAGAAAAAGTGACAAGTTATATTTGGAGCATATCAGACTCTCACTCATAATTCCTTTGATATTAGGATGTTAGAAATGCAAGTTTAACTCATACAAATAAAAAGATATTTTAGTAGGAGAAACAACGTCCAATGTGCACAAAGACTTTATGTTTTGAAGTACAATATGTGGTTATAGCTCTAATTGAGTACTTCTCATTAATTTGCACCAAACTAGAATTTTCACCTATGAAATTCATAATACAAAGTATGCCAAATCAAAATAGGCAGTCTGTAAATTGGGAAAATCATTATCCTCCATGATTGTAAAAATTTGATGGCAGCACTCAGAATGAGAAATTACCTTGTATGCAGGTGCACACACTATACTTGTTGTAGTTATTAGAATTGAACCCTTAAGACCCATTTTTACAATCACCCACTTTGTACGGATCCCTCTTTTAAGCAACTCTTGCCCAGCTAATATCGGATCTCCTATGCCAGTTAATGACTCAGCCTGTCATGCAAATCAGTAACATAATAGATGTTATTAAATTGAAAATTATATTGTAAAGCTACCAATAAAATATAGATGTAAAAAACGGAAGCATTTTTAATTTGCATCACATAATTATAAGATTGTTAGCTCCAAATCTCACCCAAAATAAAAACTCCAATAATATTTAGCTTAAGCAAGAAGCTAGACGACAAAAGGACTTATGAGCAAAACAAAAACTGTTATAGGATGTATATAATTTCATCAACTCCAGCCTATGGATTAAATAATATTGCATATGACATTGATAGAGATGGAAACAAGTCATTCTGAATCAGAATGTCACAAAATCAAAGTTTACTAAAAAAACAATGAGGGAAATTTGGAAAAGTAAATGGATGGTCTAGCACCGATCATGAAGCTTCCACAACCATCTGAATGGTGAAATGAAGGAATAGGCCATCTGCCTTGCAATTCTATGGTAGTGGAAGATTCTCTGAAGAGAAGATTTCAAAGAAAACAGGCAAGGGATGACAATTCAAATGTGCGGAAAGGACTAGATTCAGCATTATATTAAAAATAATGTGGAGCTGGAGCAGAAACAAATTCTAGCAAAACTATGGAGGACAATACATCAATATGGATTGGAGAGCTTTGATGGCGAGAAACAAATGTTGGTAAGCATTTTTATTATTTTTAACCTTAACTAATATATAAGCCTGTTTCTCTACTATCCAAGAACATCTCATTTGTAGAAAGGGCCGTCCTTTGAGGCCTGTGGTGGTCAACTGGTTGGTCCAAAAGCTGCTTGCTATAATAGACAACCCCCCTAACAAAGGGGTACAGTAGGGGGAACAGGGAGTAGCAACAGAGGATTGAGGATTCATGTGGGCATGCAGTAAAGGTGTGTGGTCAGCTTCTAGAGGACAGCATTGTAAGAAACTGCTTATGAATTCAGCAGACAACCTGCCACATCATGAATAAAAATCTGAGTACAATACACTGTAAACTGTGACTGACACTGCAGAAGAGTTTTAAGAAAAACTCAGTTTAAAGGTTTTCCTTTTATTCCATAGTTCCAATTGCTTCACATGATTTTGAGTAGCTATGTCAAAAGCCCAAGTATAGAATATTGAAATTTATACAATTTAATGGGCCAGATACACTAAATTTGATATCGTGAAAGAGTCCATAAATAGGCAAGTACAAAAGTAGAACAAGAAAATGAAGAAAGATTAACAAGGAGCACTGGTCATGCATCTGATAGCAAAGTGCAAGCAGAAATATGTTTCTCAAATGAGAGATAAAAAGAAAAATTCCATAGTTTATAAAACAAAGAACAGAGAACTTAAACAAAAGCATACCACAAATAGTAGAGAACAAGCCTAAAGCAAACAACTATAAGCAATCACAGTCCTATTAAAAATAGAAGCAATATGAGGAGAGCTATAATGAAACCTCATCAGCCGTTAAGAGAAGAACATCACTCATCCTCAAAAACTGGTTAAGAGCTCTTTGTTCTTCTGGTGTTCCAGCAGAGAGACTCTTCCCACGTGGTCCTGGATCAAAAAAGATTGATGTGCCAACTTCAACAGCACAGTCCACTACAGATTGCAGTAAACTAGGAGATAGGTCATCAAAACCATATCCATTACAAAACAAAACCTTTGAATTTTGAATAGCTAATCTTGCTTCTCTAGAAATTTTGCTCAGCCAATTAAATGCAGGTTCCTTGCAAAAATCAGCTCGACTAGTAGTAAAATAAAAAACTCAATTAGGCCACCGTAAACAAAAGAAGAAGAGAATAAAAAAGTGTCACAGTGATAGTGACGATTTACAAATGAAAATAAATGATTTTACCTACAAAAATCATGTTTTTGCAAAGGATCAACGAGAACCCAGCATATAAGTGTTTCACAAGAGTCACCACAGCTACTGACAGTATCATCACCAGGAGTAATCTCAACCATACCAATACCCTCATCACGAAGCACATCTGATAGAAAGTTCCCGTATATTTCATCACCCACGTGACCAATTGATACACAGTCAAGTCCCAACCTCGCAGCTGCTATAGCCATATTGCAGTTCCCACCAGCTTCCCAATATTTCTACATCAAAAACCACAGAATCAAAACAACAAAACCATCTATAGCATAAAAGTATGATAGCAAGAGTACACAAAAGTGTGGCAAGGTGATTATCACGTATGATAACATAACAAGCACTGTTTGGTTTAAGAAAACACTAACTAGTTATCTAAACCAATTTAGAAATAGATTCTCTAGAATTAATAGAAAAATCTACACAAAAACAAGAACAGTATAACATAATTTAGGGCAAACAATGTGAATGGAAACGATAGAAAATACCAAACCTTGGGAGGTGGAGAGGAAGCCAAACGTTCCATGAAAGCTTCGCGTTCATGAACAGACAGAGGTGGCAATTGCGGAACATTAAGAACAATATCAACACAGAGATTACCCATAGTGGCAACATCAATATTTTTGGATCCCACGCTTCTCAGCTTCGTATCGGGCGGTGATGAGGAAGAGACGGCGAGAGTGAGACCTTTACAGGCGAGATTGAGAGAGAGAATTGGATGAAACTGGAATTTGGGTTTGGATTTGGATTGAAAGGAAGAGACATGGTGGAGGTAGAAAGGGGATGGAGAATTTAGGGTTTTGGTGGTGGATGGGAGAGGAAGAAGAGGCATTCAGCGAGTTTTTGAGTTTGAACTAAAAAACGGTGTTGAAGGTTGCAGTGAGTCGAGAAAAGAGAATCTGTTTTCACGAAAGAGAAGGAAAGAGATAACTAAATTTAATCACATCGCAACGAATAAGCAGGGAATCGGGTACTTGGAATTGGAATCATAGTAGTGAATGAAATCTCATTTAATTATTTAACTAATTGTTACTTAATTTTCAAAAATGATATGTTACCATCAAAAAAATATTATGTCAAGTTTGTTATCATTTATTTTTGTGTATTTTTGAAATAAGTATAAGTTGTAGAGATAATAAAATTAGGGAATTTTGATGTCACATATGGGATAAATTAATCACCATTTTTCTAAACTTTGTTATTAATAACATCTCTTTTTTAGATTTTTTTAATTGAAAAATGTTATTTTAGATTTTTTTATTGAAAAATGTTATTACTCCGACTTGATTTATAAGAAAAAAAAAAAGAAAATTTTCACGTTTATTAAGAATGATAATCAAGTGTATTTATTTTTTTTGAATTCAGTTAAAAGATATAACACAATTACTAATATATCTTTAATAAGTTTTCATTCATAATAATACAAAGTAATTAATGCAAGAATAATTTTGAGATAAAAGTATTAAATGCAATTAGATTTGTTGACATTTGCTTATATTTAAGGCAAAAAAAATTTCTAATAAATAAGGTCGGCGGAAATATTAAGGTTTGGAAGCTAATTATCCAGATACATAAACATTTCTTTAGAGAAATTTGAAAAAAAAAATATTGGATTTGATGGTCTTATGATGTTTGTAAAATGAAGAGGAGTGTGACTTATGGATTTGAAATTTGAGACTTGTCATGTTAGCTCTATCGGATAAGCGGAGGTGAAGAGATGTTTTAGGACTAACATTTAAAGAAGAATTGTCATGTTTGCTAGATACTATAGTATACTCACCCAATCTTCGATTGATAATCATTTCGGAGTTAATTAACGTTTTCTAACCTAGTGAAAATAAGTTTTTCTATTAGTTTCTTTTACTAACCTGACTTTAGACTGATGTTTGAAGGGAGTGAAGAAGATGGTTGATAACAGACTATTGACCTCATATCGTTTGATGTTTAGGCTGTTGGAATTAATTTGATAAGGACCAATTAAATAAACATGCTCATAAAGTATAACATATAATTTATGTGGAAGCTAAATAGTCATACAAACATATAATTAAAGAACTTATAAAATTGATTTTATGAATATCTGAATCCATTGAGGGCTTTTGTGGTTCTTTCTCAACGACACTCCTTATGCTTCAAATTTTCTTCAGATGGAGAAAAGAGATAATTTGTTTGTGTACGGTATATTGGAGAGCCTATATATAGTGTGATGACCAATTAGGGTTTCTATTATTTTCAAATGGGTCATCCTGACCTTCACTCGTATTTGACCTCATATCCAATTATTTAATTAATTAATTAATTAAATAATTTCTAAATTAAATATAAATAACCTTTTAACATTATTTGATCACTTAATTATTTAAGGCACTTAATTAATAAAATAGTTAATATAATTAAATAAAAATATTTGGCCACAAGATTATTGAAATACTAATATATCTTAATAATTATATCATAATTCTTTAGGCGCGCATCTAATGTTATTTATCTTTAGATTTCAACTTTACAATTTGGTCCACCTCATACATCAATAATGGGACCACCGCAGCTGTCGTCACTGACGTGTAACATGACGTAACCACGACGACCACCATATCAATGTACTTAATGACATAGATCGATATGGATGAGTGACATGAAAATTTCATGCAATGTGATATCTAAATCATGCATATTTCCAACTGCTCCTACTGAAGTTGTAACACTCATATATAATACATGTCTAGAAATACATATTATACATAGCTGTAAAGCTGGTATTGAAATACATAAGTGCCTAGTGGCAACATTGTACATATTACATGCCCAAAATAAACTACAACAATGGCACAATATGTACAAGGGGACCCAAAAATATAAAAACTAGAAACTAGATCATTATAAGATGATCTCCAAAATAACTACATATCGAATAATCCATCCAAAATATCAAAAGAAGCAAGGGCATCAAGCTACCTTGCCCTTACCTTTCGCCTGATCAAAATCACCTTAAAATAAACAAAAAATATGGGGTGAGATAATAATCACAGCGGGTTCCCTATCTTATGGATCACTCGGCTTTATAAGATTCTAATCATCATCCTAACTCAAGTCACAAAGGGGAAAAGACTTAAGTTGACAAAACTTGTATTATATGGAAACATGTTGCTTGAGTTCATCAATTCAAACCACCACTAATTGGGAACCATACCAAGGTATCTTTTCCCGACCAACCCTATGTCTAGAGTTATCGACAAGGGTCACGGATCCTTGTATTATACTTTGACATACGCATGGATTTCGGGTTATAAATGATAACATTAACCTCAAGAATCGTTGCTTTCTATGAGACTCCAAACCCATTTCAAGTCTTTCACCCATATGGGACTCTAACCCACTTAAGGTTTCACCGTTTCCTTGGGACTCAAACCTAGGTCAAAGTAATGGTGTGTTCATCCCAGTTCTTACTCTATGTAAGCATCACAACTTGAGACAACACAATCAAGGGTTATTTCCTATACATGATTAATATAACTTGATTGTATTCGACAATCACAAGGTGATCACATTCATCTTCATCACTCAATAACAATACATGTTTCATACAATGCATCTCACTCACAACTATGGTGACCATTCATTCATGATTGTCACCTAGGTATCATATTGAATGAATATCACATTCTTGTGTTATCTAAATCATACTTGTAACCTAGTTATCTTTTCAATCCATTTACCTAGTTAAAATCCTAGGTTTACTCACTCATCTTCATAAGGATTTAGACATTTTATTCCACATTCAACACAACAACGATGATTAGCATACACAATAATATGATTCATAGCATTCATAAGTTACACGAGGTAATATTACATGGTATACATCATTTTTGTACAATTTAGTAGGTTTCATAACCTAATGGAAGCATGGAACACTTAAAAGCATAAGGCAAGAACCTAAAATCACATTGGCAAGATTTCATATTTTGCAAAGCGGGATATACGCAGTCCTAGCGCATTTGGAGCAACATAGGCAGTGGCGAAAATGCAATTTTCACGCTACAAGTGACATTCATCAAGTTAAGCGTGCTTTAAGGTGTATTAAGTTTGAATTCTTGATCGCGCTAAGCGGGCTCTGCGTTAGATACTTAAAAAACAACTCATTCCAACTTGATTCCCACCCCATTCTAAGACTCATTCGTATCAAGAGAATTAAGAGGCATTAACAACACATATATTCAAGTACATGATTCTCATTCACAACAATGACAACATTCCACATATAAATCACAATAACATGAAGAACACAACCAACCTCATTCATAGAATCTCATGGCTATAAGAACATATTCATTCTATCATGATTCTTCCTAACCATTCTAAGAATCTATAAAACTATAACTCCTAAAATCAAGAGTTCTACCTAGAACTCACCTTAGTAATAAAATATAAGATTGATGAAGATTGGTGTTTATGAAAGATGAGATAAAGTGAAGATGATGAATCCAAGTTTCTTGTTCTTCCAATTTCTTCTTTCCTTTCCAAGTTTCCCCTTTCTTCTTCTTCCACAAGCTTCTCTTATGCTGGTTACTAGAACAAAAGTAGAATGATACAAGGTTGGTAAGAAAAGTGAAACAACATGTGGTCCTAATTGAAAGAAGAGCTTATATGGTTGGGAGTGACAAGAATAATAAAAAAAATATCTCAAGTGGTACCTCACTTAATTATTTGTTCTACTAGAGCAGTTGACCCATTATTAGTGTTATCAAAATGTTCAAATTGATAATAGGTCAGTTTCGGATAATATTAATTAAGTCAATTTAGGCCCACTTGTTACTCTAATTATCTAAACTAAAACTTCAGAGCACGTAGGAGCTCAGTTGATACCAATTGTTAATAATTATAATGTTTAAGGAAACAAGGGGTATTACATCCCCCTTAAATAAAAATTTTCCTCAAATTTAAATATTACCTGAAAGAGATGAGGGTAAGCTTCTCGCATCTCAGACTCTCATTTCCAAGTAGCATCACCCGGATGTGATTTATCCCACTGAACCTTACCAAGAGGAATCTCTTTGTTTCTCAACACCTTAATTTCCCTTCCTACAACATGACATGTGTTGCGGTGAGAATAGGATATTAAACTATTAAATAGTTTGATTCGCAAATCTTTGATTCACAACCGACTTTGATTTATCCGAAGGAAAAGGTCAAATAAAGGAAAACCTATTTTTGCATCATAAACAATGCGGGGAGAGACCTAGATAAGAGGTTGGTTAAGCTTAGGAAAGGTACTAGCACCTTAAACTTCTGTAGTACTCTACAGGAACCTTTTGTTTAACTTTAATATTTTTGCTTTATTATTTGCTTTAAGGTATATACTGAGCTAAGGGTTAGAAAGTGACAGAAAGACCTAAGGGTTAGTCCTAAGTCTACTCGGCAAGATTCGCATCTTGTGCCTACGTATCCTGGGTAGGGGATGGAATCAGAGTAATCGTAGTTCCCCTCAAAAGGGAGGTTAGAAACGTCTTGACTGTGGTCAATATTTCAAAAGGGGAATAAGCGTTCTTAAAGAAGCACTTACGTGGAGTTCGGCGAATCCTATTTCTACGTTGAAAGTTGTTAATTAAAATTAGGGTTAAAATTAGGGATTCCACAACGGGAAACCCTAAACAGAGTACATCGACTCTTTGAACTAATGTTAGGGTAAAGGGCATTTTCGTCCACGGCGGGACACCTAGTCAATTAGGGTTTTGAAATGGTCAAAGGTGAGGACTATTGACTCGGCGGTCAAACTGTTAGATCTAATCCTTCGGAAGAGTTTAACAGGAAATGATGCAAAGGATGAATTAT